GCTTTCCAGTCAGATCTTTCTGTACATGCTTTTGAATATATACTTTATAAGCTCTCTTCTCATTAGACTGCTGCCGTTCCAAGCCTATTCCATTAATACTTCATGTGAAAATAAACCTCTCTGCATTTCAAGAAAACAACTGTTCCCTGGCAACAATTAGTGGAAACTCTTGCCATTGGTATTTCACTTTGATTGAAGATTTAGGAAGGGGGGAAGGGACCCTCAATTCTCCTTTGCTGTCATAAGTAAAACTCACAGCCCGAAGGACAGTTTGCTTCTCGAAAGTAAAAGATTTCAAATATCTTAATTCCCAGAGGGCTGAAGGGAAAGAAAGGAAAAACAAAACAGCAGCCTAGACCATTGTAACTACTACAATCAGCTGTTCCACACTGAAAAACATGTTGTCCTCCATATCCCATTGCTATTAAAAAATGTGCAGCTTGAAATACAATGACTAATCCCAGTTTTATAGCCAACCAACTAGAACATCTCCCCAAGATAAAAGAGAGCATTAGTGCTCATCAGAACCAAAAATACACATGGAAAATAGGAAATCTTAACTATTTAAAATTTGAAAGAAAAAAAAAAAGGTAGAGCTCTAGGAAAGCCTGGGTGTGGAAGTGCTCGAAAGGGCTTTGAAGTCTCGAAATACGAAGGCTCCAAACTTTGTCACACAAAGACGGAACTGGCAATTTGTCAGAAGCCAAAGGGCTGCAGCTAATTATTCTGGATTTGCATAGCTTGTGAAACAAAAATAAATGCATGTCCCCATCAGAGGTACTTGTGATGATTTCCACTTCACTGCACATGTTTTCAATCTCACATTCTTCAAACTAAGCCAAACAGATTTTTTCCTGAAAAACAAGGTATATGGAGATGTTCTTTCTTTTCCTCACCAATGCACATTTATGAGAAATAGAATACTGTACTGGCTGAAGAAAAGCTGACAGTATGCAACTCTAAATTTGGTCCTACATTAATCTTGAGGGGTGAAACTGAACAAAAGCAAGCTTTAAAAAAAAAAAAAAAAAAAAAAAAAGGGTCAGAAACAGCTTTATGTTTCAGAAACTTCTCAAAACCCATATTTGCTAGATTCCATTAATAGAGAAGATTTTCTTATTACTGCTAATGTCTAATTAGCCAATCACTGCATAACTACAGAAGCAGTATTCCCCTTGAAACAGTGATGAAAGAAATTAAGAAAGGCTTTTGTTGAAGCACTTAGTGCCCTGGCAGCCCAGGCTAGCGCCAAAGCTGCTGCCTGCCCAATGGCCTACAGGCCATGGTACTACTGGGGCTCTGAGTACATGTCACCATTCAGGGCATCACCACCCCACCACTGGCTACCTCTTCAGGTGGCTCCAGCTGCAAGAGGCTGGGGGAGCTGGCAAGAAAATAAATCAGGATGACAGGCAACAGCCCAGGGTCTGAGAACCCACAGCTCCCCAGACGTCTGAGCTCTACCCTGTTCCATGCAGCGCTGTCAGCACAGCTGCCAAAACACCACTTGGGCTGGAAGAGAAACAGCATTCCTGCAGAGCTTGCATACGGCCTTCAGTTCTTTTTGTTTGTTTTTTGTTTTTTTTCAGTTCCCACCTTAAAAACGGAACAACAGCATTTCCTTACCTCTCTGTGTACAAGCAGGATAACCACCCTAACACGGTGGTGGTGATGCCTACTTAAAAACCAAAAAAACAGCCTGCCACAAGGTAAGAGATTGAACACAGCCCTTGATCCAGGGAACTTTCTGCTTGGTTTCCCTTCTAATATAATAATGGTTTGTAGCTGCCCCACTGACTAGGATTTAAGTCTCAAGAGGCAAATATAGGTCTAAAACACTTCCAAACCTTATGCTGTCATTCAGACTTCTGCCACCGGAAAAAAAGACATGAGCTAGTCTGATCAGAATAAATCCGAGGCTCCCAAATGTTTGGGTGCAGGCTCAGACTTTGGAAGGGCTCAGTCTTTGGAAACTTCATAACTTTGAAAGCTTTTTGATTCATTTTCTGCACTATCTTTTAAGCTAGACAGCTTGATGGGTGTTACTCAGTTGTACTAAATAACACAATGCATTTCAGCTCCTATGCATTGAGTTTATAGTGAATTCTCATTGTTAGAATTTAATTAGGACTTCTGTAAAGAATAACAAAGAAAATTATTTATCACACAGTGAGTTGAGAGGTTCTTTGTTTTCAACATGGAACTTAAACAATTTCTTAAACTCGAACAGAGGGTCATGTCTGCTTAGCTTTCCATTGCCAGTCCTACTCTTCTACTACTTCTCATTGGACAATGTGCATGTCTCCCAGCCCAATAAAAACAGGAAGCTGGAACTACTCTTTCTGCTATAACAAAGCCTGAGAAGAGATAAAACAGAGAACTTGAACACAAGTCACAGAATCTTGTCTGCTATCTAACAGTGTACAGAATCTTGACTGCTATCTAACACTGTATAGAAAATCTGTACAGTGAAAGTAGCCCTAAGTAAACAAAATAAGAAGATGCCAGAATAGTCGAGGCACAAAGAAAACAGAAGTCACGTATGTGCTTACTTGAAGAATTTTCTAAGACTTTTGTTCTGTAGTAGGAAATTAATTCCTGCTCTTTTACAACATTTTTGGAAAAGAATGAACTATTATCTGTCTGCAGAAATCAACACAAACCAGTCCATTATGGTACCTGGAAACTAGTAATTGAACCTCATCTTCTGACTTGCTACTTTTAACTGGGAAGCATGTATGCATTCAGGAAAAAAAAAAAAAGAAAAAAAAAAAAGAATTTATGTAAAGAGGAAAACAGATAATCAGTATTCTACGTTTTGAGTGATTTGTCTTTTACCATGCATAGAGCTGGCTTCTCTTGGGACAGCTCACACCAGAGCAGGTTCTTTAAAGGAGAAAGAGAAACAAATCAAAGAAACCTTGCTGCTCAACATAGGTAAACAACATCCCCCTGTCAGACAAACTTTGTCCAGCAGACCGGTATCAAGATATTCTCTACCTAAAAGCAGGGCTAGTGGAAAGACAGTGCAAGGTGACAAAAGCCACGCTTCCAAGGAATACTGAGTAGGCAAAGAACAGATATCCAAGATATCTCTTGCTACTACAAGTACATGCTTTAGCATGTACAAAGCATCATGCAGGCCAGCAGTGAAAACACGTGGCCATCCATCCTGCTCTAGCAGAGCATCAGGCATTGATATTCCAGGTATGCCTTTGGGGCACAGATTCCCAGTATAGGTTAGTGTGGCATCTCAACAATGCTGTAAAATTTGAAACTGTCTAAGAAACTCTACAAAGTCCTGCTTAGTTCTGTCCAAATGTTTCCCAAATGCTCTCTGAATAAATACATTCTTTCCAATTATTTTGTGAATATCTAATGACTAGCCATTAAGTTACTAAACATCAGCAAAAAAACCTAACTAAATAAATGCATTTGTGCATCTTGCATACACAGATACAGCAAAGACTTAACTCAAATAATACACTGAAGGACAGCAACTTTAGCCCAAGAGGTAAAACAGCATCTGCTCTCTTTATCTAATCATAGGATCATTTAATTCATTTCATACAGGCACAGCTTAAGTGCACACAGCAGGAACTAGGCATGTATAACAAATGCAGACATTGGATTGTAAACCAAAGAATGCCACAAACACAGGCTAGCTTTCTCCTTGTGCTGCTTGTTGAGGACGTACTTTGCATACGTTGGTTGCACTTATCAATCCAGAGGTGCTCTATCAGAACTTATAACAGGAGCTGCTGCTTAGTTCTGAGCAATAGAAGGTACAAAGCAAGGAAGATGCTGCTGCAGTGGTGAAAGGGTACTAGAATTAAGCCTAAATTCAGACATGAAATATGTGCCTTCTTTGCTCATAATACCAAGCAGTTCTCAGATAACCAGACCTACTAGAAAGACTTTGTCCAAGGTTAGCTAGTAATTTTTTAAAAGCCTTTTCTGACAAGATTCTTTAGAATCATACGGATTATTTTTTTTTCTTTTGAAATGTCCCTACTTCATGTTTGTGTGAAGTCACAAGGACACAAGAACAGCATCAACTATCAGTGACTAACGCCCATTTCTCCTCTATTGAGGCAGGTTCATTGCTGCTACTGGGACATAAGAAATAATAGGACAAGAGGAAATAGTCTCAAGCTGTACCAGGGAAAGTTCAGGTTGGATATCATGGAAAATTTCTTCTCAATAAAGAGTGGCATTGGAACAGGTTGCCCAGGTGGAGTCACCATCCCTGGAGGTACTCAAGAAATGCAGACGTGGCACTGAGAGACATGGATTAGTGGGCATGGTGGTGGTAGGTTGACAGTTGAACTAGATGATATTTTTCAACTTTAACGATTCTATGATTCCACGTGTGAGGAACACATCGAGCATACGTTAGACTAGAAAATGAGCATCAGGTAAGCACTAGGAAGAGTGAATCCTGTGACACTCAGCTCTTCTAAGTACACACAAGGGGCCAAAAGAAAAGAACGTGCTTCCCCATTCGATCTTTTAGGAGCACAGTCCTCTGACTTAGCAGGCATAACAAAATAGCTGTCATGCTAACATAATTCCTTTCCCAAGTTGGCATCATCCTTTAAGTACCATCTTGTGTAAAATATGACCACTTGGACGTAGCTAACATTCATACTTAACAGCAGAGGGGCTAAAACTTCAAAGCACTTCAGTATCACTTCTCTGCTCCCTAGGTTACAAAAACACCACTACTTCTGTTTGAAAGGCCAGCTCCTGTTTCTGCTAGATCTGACCATCCTTAAATAAAGTAAGCACAGATTAATATCACTTAATCAACTATCAGATTTTTATAATTAATAAAGACAAGAAAAGCCAACTTCATCTCCACTTTCACTTAGTCTCCTCTACTAGATGAGCTTGATGCATAGTTGACAAAAATGAATCCATTTCTTTTCCCAGAAACAGGATTGATAGCAGAGAAGAAAAAAAAAGAAAGAAAAAATAACTGAATAGTTTTTACTCACCTGTACTACTTCTACTCCTCTTTTCCTGAAAAAGAGAAAAAAAAAACAACAAAAAGGTTATTGTTGGAATGCGGGAAAAATGCACAGCAAACATTAAAGGTAAAAGGTTGCTTCATACTAGAACACAAACACTAAAGATCTGCATTCGCTGATTCAAATTCAGGAAAGCATTTGTTCAGTTCTATTCTGCCTATGAAGCATGTTTGCAGTTTCTGAACCATGGTCTCAATGGGGACATGGGACATGCGCTGAGCAGCTGTAATGCTGAGACCAATGCAGCTACCCAGTGGACAAAGGTGGGAAGTGGGTGATGCGAGGGGGAGAGCATCTCAGTTTTAATCATAAATCAAAACGTCAAGAACTGAAACTGGCAGAGCCAGTTTAGTCCAATCTACTCTGCTAGTATGAGAATTGAGATTCAGGTACACGCAGCCCAGCAATGTTCAGTCAGTGCATTTGACAAGTTATCAAGAAAAACAAACCGTTTCTGCTTTAGTCTGGAGAGCAGAACTAAGTATCTGGCACAAAGCCCAGTCGTTCCTATTCCATGCCACTTTCCCACTACATGAGGGCTATTTAAATACATCATGAACTTCTCCTCACTTTGAGGACATAAGGAATTTAATTTAAGAATCAAAAGCCTCAGCAAGGACATGACTGGAATCTTTTTTCCTCATTCCCACTAACCTCATCTGTGAAAATCGAAGACCCTTGCTGGAGAGGTCAGGGCAGCGCTGCCTGACTGTCCCCAGCGCCCTTCTATCTATGAGGGCCTATGTTGCTTTCCACAGTCACAACTGTTGCACACTGCTGAATGCACAATGGCTCCTCCAGTTTTCTCCCCAATACAGTAAGTCTTTCTTTTGGAAGGCGGTTACAAAGATGCCCAAAGGAACAGGCAATCCATCAGCATCTATGACATAAATTTTTCCTTTCTTCCACTTCACAAGCCTGGAGTTTCTCTGGCTGAAAAGCAGTATGCATGCACTACATAGTCACAACAGAGCTCATCGTTGCTCAGCAAGGAAATTATAAAGAAAATGAAACCAAGCACCTCTTACAGAGAATTTCAAAGCCCTCTTGCAAATAACAGTGGCCTGTAAATGGTGGGTGATTGATGTGTTGCTATTAGAGTGTGGGAAGCATTGCTACAGAACAGCACCTGAGGCTAGCCAGATGCATTCCAATTATGCTCTGGGAAGAAAAAGACTCCTATAGAGAAAGAGTTAATAGCCAAATTGCTGAAACAATGACTTTCACACAGCTAAGTGACATAAACAAGAAATACTAGGTAGGAAGTGTTGTGTGCTTTTCTTTTTTTGTAAATGAGTGCAGCAGCAACTGGTGAGCCATTCCAAGCACTGTAAGCTAAGACTTAAAATAACCAAACCAGCTACATTTTTGCTGTGTCTGCCCTGGAGTAAAGAGAGCTCAGAAGCATCATAAAAATACACCAGGCTACAGCAAGGACTACTCCAAAGCTCCTTGAAAGATGGCATCTGATGGAAAAGATTGCATTTTTTGCCATGCTTACACCCATTGAATAAGTTTTGTCCTACTTTGCAGAAGAGAAATACGTGAAAGCTGGTTGCCAAAGCTGCTTGAGAACGAATGGGCCTAAAGGCTTTCTATAATGACCCCAAAATGGACTCTGCAAATTGACCAGGAATTACTGAAACCAACTGTACTGCATCAGCACAAGGTAGAAGCTAGCCTACAGCTTTTGTTTCCGCTAACAAATAGCAAGAAGCATCCGGTGCTGAAGACGCTGTCACACACTTAGTGGCTATGGGAAGGAGGAAGCGATTAGCAAGGTTGGCTTGCAGCACCGGGTCTTCCTCTTTCTCAGTAGTGGGCTTTCCCCTTTGGTTATCTGAAGTATTAGAACTACTTACACTTAAACCCAGGAGACAAGAAACCATAGAAGCATGTGTGTTTTGTGGGTTAGGTAACTTGGGATAAATCCTCTATCAAAATAGTTTGGGTTTTTTTTGTGAAATTAAGTTATTAAAGAACCAAAGATACCCAAGTAACCAGGACAGCAAGCAGCCTTGTGTCTCTGTTACATCACCACCTGGCAGTGCCACAAAGCCACAGGGACGGACAGGTGGTGGCTGTGAGGCACCAAGATGGGAGCTCCACAGCCGAGTGTGTAGCACCATGTCACCACACTAGCTGTCCCACATCCTGTAGGAAACCGATTGGGAGTGGAAAGCAAGCTGTTCCCCCACACGAAAAACTCTAGGAACCCCCCAAAAAAATCAGTGGGCAGAAGGAAGCAGACCACAGGCCATAAGCAACTCAGCAGCAAGGGGCTGTCCACAAAGGGTGTGCAGGTGAGGTGGAGCAGTTGCCAATGAGCCAGTCTGGGAGCCTGACAGAACCAGCACGTGGCCTGAAACCAAGTCATACCCTGCCTGAGGAAGGGCATCTATTCCCAGCTTGTCCAGACATCTCCTGGAACTGGCTACATGGGATCCAAAACAAGCTTTGCAATACAATCCCTTTTTTCTGAGGGGAAGAGAGTGATCCCCATTAGCTGTGTTTCCCTCCCCCTTCCCAAGGTGTGACACAACCACATCAAAGCAAGACTGCTCGCCTACTTTCCTTGAGCAAATGCTTGAAAAATGGCCACTCTTAAACAATGTTCCTAGAGGTCACTGTTTTTAAAACAAATATAATTCTAAAGAATATCCAGACTGGGATCTTATATCAGCCAGGAAAAGTAAAAATAGCCAATGCTAGAAATCCTCTGGAGAAAAAGAGAAGAAGAAAATTGGCTGAAAGCGGTAAAACTAAACACCTAATTCACACCAAAGCTTCAATGTCTTCAACTGGTCCAGCCTGTCTAAAGCTATGGAAACATATTCACAGGCATCACAAATTTCTGACTGGTGCTTTAGCACACGCTTCCTTCAGTGCTGAGCTTTCATTTAATCAGACACTACAACATCTCAAGAAAAAAAAAACAACAAAATTGTTGAAGTTATCTGCTGTTCTGAATAAAACCCAGAAGCCCATCACAACTTAATTCTATACCCGAGGCACGTGGACAACTCTACAACCACACGAACAGTGATTAAAGTAGGTTACCACGCTACATGACTTAAGAAGTTATGAAGTTGTCTGTGGATTCAGGGAAAAGTTTGATATCGTTACTATGAACCCATAAACTGGAGTCTTAGTACTGATCTTCTACCATAGTCTCAAAGTATATGGAACAGTTTTGGTTGCTTTAACATCCAAAGTAAACAGTTTGAACTAATTCACCCCAGCATCTCAGACTAAAATACCATAGTGAATGACAGTTAAAAAGAAAAAAATTATTATAATGTCATACATTACAGCCAGAGTTAAATTAAGTAGCATATTTTTGCTGTCTGGACTGAGTGACAGATTGAAAAATGGCAAGCAATTTACATTTTGAGAACTAAAAAGCAATCATGATATCTGCTTTAATAGCCTAAGCAGTTATTAAGGCATGCAGCAAAGTTCATTTTCTCAGATCTGAGGATGTTTCACCTCCAGAAGGTTCCATTTACAAAAGTAGCAAATAATAACATATTGCTTGGACATAAAAAATAAAAGAATGTTTTGGTTTCAAAGGGATTTGCATAAATATTAATGAACCAGAGCAAAAACAACATCCAGTAAGATTTTCCACCTGAAATTATCAGGCACGGAGGATGGCACCCTACAAGAAGTCCCAAAGCGAAGTGCAAAATGCAGCAAACACCAGCCACCCCACAGCCTCACAGACATCCTGTTTTCTCTTCCAGGCATAAAGGCAAGCTCAGCTAATTTGCATGAGATTTTCCATCAGCAGGGCACCCTGTATTTCTGTCAGGGAATATTTTGAGGATCCATGCTTTTATTACCTTCCCTCACTGATGGACAGTCATTACTGCCCATGACAGAAGCAACCAGACAGCAGCCCCAGTGCAGTGCGTGCTGCTGGGAGGCGCAGGCTTACAGTCATAGGTCAAACTGAAGTTAGTTGAAGGCACCTGAAAAGCTACAAGACTTGGAAGTAACACAGGATTTTTATTTTTTTTTTTTTGTGGTTTGTTTTTGCTTTGCACCCAATCTATTAAGCAGGGAATTAATCAGAGGTAATTTTGCTAATATAAATCCAGCTATTCCTTTTAGAAATGTTTTGCTCTTCTTCCATCAGTAATTTTGAAAGACTTATGACTGAAATTGGTCAGAAGTTGATGTTTGGGATGGACAGAATCCTTGGTTTTCTGTATTACCTTCCTTTTTACCTTTACATAGGTAAAGCATCATAGATCCACAGGAGAAGGGCAACCAAGTATACCCTTATAGATAGGTAGCCATAGATAGCGTTGTGTGTTTTAAATGTTTTAGGCTGAAGAAATGGGACCTCTGACAGCCACTGAGGATCTTTTAAATAGAAAAAAATCATGGGGGATAGTCACATACGTGCATTTCATCCTTCTTATTATAATCACATAGAATGGGGAACAGACCTCATACATCAGACGCTACAACATGGCAAGCAATTTTCATGCAGCCATCCCACGTGACAGTTGGGAGAGCCATCTGCTCTTCTCCACATCTTCAAAGCATTATATCATCCCAACTACAGCTTTAAAACTGCTCCTTTGAGCACCATACCAGAACAAGATGCCAGGAAATGGATTAGTTAAAATGAGAGCTTTTGGGCAGGGCAGGCAGCAACATCACTCTGGCATTTACCTGAGGGACCACAATGCCTCCACACACCTCCAATTCCACCACAACACAGTCACCTTCTGGGAAAGAGCCAGCTAGAACCCCACTAACCTGTCATCCTGCCAGACCAATGACAAACTGAAGTATCCAACATCAAGACTACAGTGGTTGAAGCTGCCAGGAGGAGAAAGCCACAAAAAAAGAAACCAGACACTCTGAACAGTGACCATAGGGAGTATACTACCTTAAGTCACTAAATATGAAGTCTACATTTCAGTAATACAAACTTGAAAGGATCTGTTTTCTTCTGTTTTCTTTTTAAACTTGACA